TTTAGACATGTACTTACAAACTTGACTAACAACATGAGCTAAATTAGGACGAGTACATACCATTGCATACATCAAGCAGCCAACAACATTAGAATACAGAACCTTTTCCATATCTTCATCTTCCTTATCTGTCTTAGGGCACTGTTCTGATGAGAGCTTAAAGTGATTCGCCAATGAAGTGCTAACTGGTTTTGCACTGCTCATCACAAACCTTTTTAGCATTTTCTCAACATAACCCCGTTGAGATAGCCACAATTTCCTTGAGTCTATGTCCCTGCAAATTTGCATTCCAAGAATTTTCTTTGCAACACCTAAATCTTTCATATCAAATTTCTGACTCAATAAAGTTTTCAATCCGATAACATCATCAATGTTCTTCGCAACAATTAACATATCATCAACATACAGTAACAAAAAAATAAAAGAACCATCATCAAGGCTCTTAACATAGACACAACAATCATACTCACATCGGTTGTAGCCAATCTTGATCATATAAGAGGCAAACCGTTTGTACCATTGTCTTGGAGACTGCTTCAACCCATACAAAGATTTCTTCAATATGCAAACTAAATGTTCGTTTCCAGGTTGAGTGAAACCTTCAGGCTGTCGCATGTAGATCTACTCCTCTAAATCACCATGTAAAAAGCAGTTTTCACATCCATCTGCTCTAAATACAAATCCCAACTAGCCACCAATGCAAGTACTGCTCGAATTGAAGTGTGCCTGACCACAGGAGAAAAAATTTCACCATAATCAACTCCTTTCTGCTGTGAAAAACCCTTTGCTACCAAACGAGCCTTGAACTTCTCCCCCTCTTTTTCTGTTACTGTTGGTTTCTTCTTATACACCCATTTGCAACCAATCGGCTTCTTACCCTCAGGAAGGCGAACTAACTCCCATGTACGATTGTGATTAAAAGACTCCATCTCCTCGACCATGGTAGCCATCCACTTGTCATTTTCCTGGCTAGTAACTGCATCATGAAAAGTAACCGGATCATCATTGCTAACAGTAAGTGCAAAAGAGACCAAGTCTTCAAAACCCAATATGTTCGGAGGCTTTATATTCGTCCATCTTACCCTATCTCTGGGGAGACTATAATCTTGTAAATCATCCGTGGCGGAACCACCAGAAGTCGGTTGAGAAGTTTCTGTTTTCTCAACTGCAAACTGCTCGAAATCCACCACTGTTGTGTTTTTCTTCTGCTACAACATGGGATGTTCATAAAAAACAACATCTCTACTGATCACAATTTTCTTCGCAACTAGATCCCAGAACTTGAATCCTTTGACACTTTTCTTGTAACCCATAAAAATGTACTCCTTCGATTTTGCATCAAGTTTGGATCTCTCATCAGCAGGTACATGTACATAAGTAGGACAACCGAAAATCCGTAAGTGATCAAAAGTAACATCATGACCAGTCCATACCTCTTCTGCAACTTTCCCAGCCAATGATGCCCTTGACGATCTATTGATAAGATAACACGACAAGTTAACAGCCTCAGTTCAGAAGTGTTTGGGAAGCCCCGCATTCAACCACAAACATATGGCTCTTTCATTCAATGACCTATTCATCCTTTCTGCAACACCATTCTGTTGTAGTGTCTTGCGCACTGTAAAATGCCTCCTAATCCCGTGCTCCTTACAGCGGTGTAGAAACTGTGAATCTGTATACTTCGTACCAATGTCAGACCGCAAATACTTGATTTTTCATCCTGTTTGGTTTTTTACCTCGGCTTTCCACAGCTTGAACTTCTAAAAAACGTTAGACTTCTGTTTCAAAAAAATACACCCAAACCTTCCATGAAAAATCATCAATAAAAGTAACATAATACCTAGATCCACCCAAAGACGATGTTATGGAAGGCCCTCATACATCAGAATGCACATAATCAAGAATCCCTTCAGTTGTGTGTTTCACAGTCTTGAAACGAACTTTAGTTTGTTTACTAAGAACACAATACTTGCAAAAATCGAGCTTACAACTTTTAACACCATGCAAGATTTGTTTTATGTAATTCAACCATACCACGTTCATTAACATGAGCAAGATGCATATACCACGCTAACTCCGCTCCATCACCTATCCTCTTTACCGGTATATTTATGAGCCATACCTAAAAAATAGTATGAACATTAGTAGAGAATTGAGTCTTGACATAGGCAAAAGATTCCTTAAGATACCACAAAAATAGACTTAAGCTTCATTGAATAAATTCACGCCACTCTAGTATGGTCATCGACTATCGTGAGAAAATAATCCTTGACCACTATAAGTAGAAAATCTCTGTGGTCCGTACAAATATAAATAAATAAGTCAAAATGGCTTATTAACTCGAGAAGACTTATAGGAAAAGGAAAACAATTTGTAGAAATATAAGGAAACATTTGAGCTTGTGATAAAAAATAACCCAGGACTAGAAAAAACTCAAAAAAACTAAAGACTAACAGAAGCTCTACCAATCCCCATGATTTTTCCACTTGAGAGATCATACAACAAACAAAAATTAGGATAGCAGAAAAAAACACAATTGAAATCCCAAGTCAATTTGGACACTGACAAAAGGTCATTAGCAAACTAAGGAATATAAAGAACATCCTTCAACACAAGAGTATGATGTCAAAAAATAGTGCCCATATGGGTAACAGAAGTGGTTTTAGCATAAGGTAAATGAACCAACCTAGACCTAGAAAAACATGAAACTAAATTAACCAATAGCGAAAAATATGGTAGAACATTATCACTAGCACTAGTGTCAATAATCCAAGAAACAGTTGGAGAGAATCCAGAAACACTGCCCACTATATTAATAGATGCATCACCAGTAGGAGCATGGTTGAGAAACTCCAAGATTTGCTTATACTGCGCATATGTAAAAGAAAACGTAGAAGGTAATAAAGATGGCACTAAAGAGATCTCAATTGAATCCTCATCAGAAGAGCATCTGAATTAGTAAACATAGCAACCAGAGCAGATTTCTTTTATAACTCTCTAAAAGAGTTATTATTTAGAGCCTTTTTACATAGGTTAAGCTTGTACTTTATTATTCTTATAATCATATGAGGATATATTTTAGCATATTTTACATCATTTGCATATTGGGAGTGAATTGTTGGTACTTGGGTTGATTTCAATGTTTCACTGTAAATTGATATACTGATGTTGTGACAATTAAAATGTTGTAGTCATTACTGGGTGCCAATGTTGGACTGAATTGTATAGATGATTCTGCAGCAACTACTAAGCCATAAGGCGGATAGAGAAATTTTAGGAATTGATAATATTACGGGATAAAAGCTTTAAATTTTAATTTAAAAAGGAATTTTCAAAAAAATGAGATTTTCTTATTGGTGGAAGCTTGACTTTGATGGACTATAAATATATTATTTTCTATACTCTTTAAACATCCTTAAAAACCCTAATTTTCTAAGCCATCTTTTATTTTTCTCTTCTACAGCCGCTATGGTAGCCTAAAAACCTTTGGGAAAACGACACTTGGACGTGAAACATATTGCAACCGTGCGAGCAGTGGCTGACGATCGAGAGGGCATCATCTTAGCAATTTAGATTGTACTTGAGAAGAGGGTTTATTTTGTTAAGATTATTAGTTTTTATTTTATGTTAAGATGTTAAACTTGAATCTTTACTTTGAACATATTTTATGAATTTCATATTTAATCATTTTGCATTAGTATTATTGATTGGTGTTACTTTAGTTTAAATTTCAGCTTGTTTATAGAGATATAAATTGTCCAGTAATATTGCGAAAGTAGGTTACATCATTAATAGCATCAGTGTTTGTGAGAGCGACATTTAGCATAAAAGAAATTTTTGTTGAATGTTTTGTCGTAGCATTCTTAGTATATTTATTTGATTTGCTATATAGATGTAGTCCTTCTTGTGAGTATGAGCGAGTATTTTTTAGAGAGAAATAACCTTCTAGGTTAATGCTAGACACATCAATCATATTGCTACAATATCGTTAATTGCATATTGTTGTTTGACATCATACAATCTTTTGCCTAAATTAATCATTTTTTCATTTACTTGTGTTGTAATCCCATTTATTCTATTTTGTTTTCTACTACATTTATACAACATTGCTCCCTACATCAACAATACAAAAATTTACATTTATTGCACAACAATTTTGCAAAATAATATTAATCTCTGTGAATACGTTACTCGACGTATTAGTTGCGTCCATTTTTATTACTTGATAAACGATAATGTATGCTTGCATTGTTTGCTGTTACATTATTCGAAGCATCAAGTTTTTGGCGTCGTTGTCAGGGATTAATGTCATTACTTTTAGAGTTGTTACTAACTTTGTTTTCATTTTTGTAGGTAGCTTTAGCAGGGCATTGCTGGTGCTTGACTCGTAACAACAACAACAAGAACTTAGTACATTTTGATTCAGAGATAGATAGAACTTTTCACCGAATGATACTAGAAAATCAACAACATCCAAACATGAATCATAATGTTATGGGAAATGATGGTGAACTACTATTTCCAATCAAGGATAATCATAATCTCCCAAACAACAATGGAAAAAATAACAAAAGGATTCCATCCTTGAACAATGAACCAATGCGATCATGTTACCACAACATTGATAACAAAAATAGGCCAATCCAAGAGCACGTTGTGCCTATTCTGGATGACTTAAATCCTGGCATTGTTTGACCAACTATCCATACTGCCCACCTAGAGTTGAAGTCGGTGATTTCCAAATACTGGAATCAATGGGGTAATATAGTGGGATGCACACCAAAGACCATCGAGTGCATTTGAGAGCATTTATGGAAGTGTGAGATCCATTCATACAAGAAAGAGTGCCCAAGGAGGCCTAAAAGCTGAAGTTGTTCCCATACTTGTTTCACGATAAAGCTGAGGCGTGTCTTAACTCGTTGTCACCCGGTGTTATAACATTATGGAATGAACTTATCCAAAAGTTCTTGTTGCGAGTCAACCCTACCAAAATGAATACTAGATTGAGGAATGACATCACATCTTTCAAGAAAATAGAGGATGAGAACTTCTGTGAAGTATGAGAATTATTTAAAGATTTAGAGCGAAAATGTCTGATGCATGATTTCCAGCATTGGACGCAAATAGAGATATTATATAATGATCTTAACATGCAAACAAGGATGATTGTAGATTCTTCTTCCAATGGAGCATTGTTGGACAAGTCCTACAATGAAGCTTATGATATCTTGGAGAGTATTTCCAGCAATGACAACCAATACCCCGATACAAGGATTATCTCGGGTAGACGCGTTGCTACAGCAATGAACAACGATTCTCTGAACACACTGACCACACAAGTGACAACATTGACTGAAATGATGAAGAACATACAAAAGCCTAGAGGTATGTATGAGGTAAAAGCTACATCTTTTGTCAATTGTGTTTATTGCGGTGATAACCATAATTTTTAAGAATATCCACAAAATCTCGAGTTTGTGTATTTTTTGAGAAATTACAACATTAATGATAATTCAATGCTTATGGGAACACCTATAATCTAAACTTCCAAAATCATCTCAACTTGTCTTGGATAAGTTAGAATGTAGCCAACCCAAATATGGTATTGCAATCAAATTTTGGGAATACACAACATCATTATTCACATCAACAATATACTCAACAACAACCAATGTTGTAACATTAACAACTACATAATCAAGCGATATAACATCAGTAGCATAACAATGAGTAAAATTTTCAAGGGCAGTCTTCCAACCAAGCCTCAGTTTCAACATTGACATCGCTTGAGTCTCTATTGAAAGAGTACATGTGAAGAAATAAAATTGTGATCCAAAGCCAGTTAGCATCGTTGAGAGCGTTAGAGAATCCAATTAGATAGCTAGCTAATGTGCTTAACAACATACCACAAGGAGCATTGTCAAGTGACACTGAAGTTTTGAAAGCTCAATGGAAAACTCATTATAATGAGCATTACAATGCCATCATAACAATGGAAATCAAATGATAAAGACAAAAAAGAAGAGGATAAGAGGCATGGATAACAATCTAAGGGAAATAAGTTGGAAATGGAAATTGAGACACCAACAGTGGTTGTCACAACAAAGGAAATAGGAAAAAGCAGTAATTCTAGGATATTACCTCCAGTAATGCTGAAAATAATACCACCTATGATTCCACCAGCATTGCCAGTGCAACAGAATCCAAGACCTCCACCTCTATTCCCAAGATTCCAGAAAGCAAGAAAGATCGATAATTTAGAAAATTCATTGATGTGTTGAGAAAATTGCGCGTTACTATACCATTGCTGGAAGCATTGGAGCAAACACCGAACTACGTCAAATTTATAAATAAGGTGATTTCCAAGAAATGTAGGATTGGTGATTTTGATACTATTACACTCACTAAAGGGTGTAGTGTCATTGTCATGAGCAAATTACCCTAAAAGTTAAAGGATTCAAGGAGTTTTACTATTCCTTGTACTATGGGTATCAATACACATGTAGAACTTATATGACTTAGGATCCAGCATTAACTGAATACATTTGTCTATTTTTTGGAAACTTGGGGTTGGTAAAGTATTACCCACAACATTTACACTTCAACTTAATGATCAATCCATTGTACATCCCAAAGGTAAGATAGACAACGTACTAGTACAAGTGAAAATAATTTATCTATCCAGCAAACTTTATTGTCTTGGACTTAAAGCCGACAAAAAGTGCACATAATACAAAGAATATCATTACTTTTCACTGGATGAACATTGATTGATGTTGAAAAAGAAGAACTCACATTGTGCCTCAATGACCAACAAATTACATTCAATGTGTTCAACCCAATGCAATGAGATGAAGAAGGTGAATGTCATGTTGTTGACATTGTCAAAGCAATAATACAAGAATAATTGGATGAATGTAGGAGTATTGAAGAACTCTTTAATATTGATGTGACAATAAAAGACTTAGATGAGCTAGACCATGAAGAGACTATGTCAATCGAGGGAACCAATGCTTCTACATTGATCATGGCATCAACAATAATTTTGCACTGCTAATGCCGACTACAAAGTCACAACATGAGTATCTGAGTAAAACTACAAATGCTACCATGTACATAATGACACAACAACATCGAGGGCAAAAATAAGGTTTTGAAAGGATTTGTCGATGAAAGTTCTCATTTGAAAATTTACTGGTAAAGTTGTAACATCTCTACGGTAACAATAAATAAGTGCACTTCATGACTGATTCCAACAAGAAAACTCAACAATGTTTCATTCCTACAAGCGTAAAGGAACTAAATTCGTATGACTTTGTCACAACAACCTTCAACAAGCAATATGAGATATCGTTTTATTGGGACCCATGAGAAGTTAACACAAACCTCCATTTCACTATATGAAATCATTTTTACATGTTTTCAATAATTCATTTATGACATTATATTATATTTGTTTTAGTTTTGTTTAACAAATTTTCTTGAGATTTTTTAAGGTCAGATTTCCACATCGATCGTCGTATCATCATTCATCACATGATGTATTTGCTTCACAACATCAGTTGGAGTTACAAACCACCCTTGTTGCCCAACATCTTCTTGTATTCCAAACTGTTATTCCTGTATCATTAGTAATACATCCACACAGTTATTTTTGCACAATATCTTTATAAACATTTGGGGAGTATTGTTGTCCCTTCTCCCATGTTTTATTTATTTTACATGCATTGAGGGCAATGCGCATCTTAGGTTTGAGGGCAATTCACATCTTAGGTTTGAGGGCATGTTGTTTGTTTTTATTGTTTATTGTCAAGTGCATTTTCATGTTCAAGTTTTATGTGTTCATTCGAGCTTTCCATGACATCTAACTTGCCATGATATTTATATAAACAAACAATTGGCGAGACTTTACATTTACATAGGATGAGATAATTGTCGAAAGAAATAGAATGAGTAGAATTTTAGAATTTAGAGATAACTTGAGATTGCCTTATTAATTCTTGTGATGCTATCATTATTTATCGAATATCATGCTTAGTTAACTTGTGGGTACTTTTTTTTGGAAAATTTAGTTATCTTACATTTTACAAAAAAAATTATCTAAGTTCTATGTGAATTGCTAGAGGTGTCCAACTGGCTCTAGCCGAATAAATTATTCACAATAGTCTTTTAGCTTTAGGACACTCTATTACTAAGATAGGTCCGATATGCTTTGTGAATACTAAGTAGGAAAGATAATTTCGAATAGCATAAGTGAATGAAATTCTTCACGGGATGACTCTACCTAAAAGGCTAAGGGGTTTGTTGTTGATAACATCTTATAACTCAGTAGTTGTGATGAGCTGAAGCTCTAGTTAAGATAAATAATAATTACTGTGACATATACTTGCTTTATTAATTACTTTGATAGTTATGATAATCTCTGCAAATACTCATGGTGGTGACCTGTCACGACAAAGAGCACACACATGCAAGAGCATCATAAGTTGATTTGAGTTGATTTCTTATTGTTTTGAGATTTGAAGGTGATTAGTAGAAAATTGCTAAGGTTATAAGGTGACAGGTGCAAGGCAAGTATAAGAGTTATGCTATCTAATTCTTGAGGGCAAGTTGTTATCATGCATTGCTTGACGACAAGCAAAAACTTAGGTTTATGGGGTGTGATAACTCTTCAAAAGAGTTATTATTTAGAGCCTTTTTATTTAGGTTAAGCTTGTACTTTAGCATTCTTAGAATCATATTTGGATTTCTTTTAGCATATTTTACATCATTTACATATTGTGAGTGAATTATTGGTACTTAAGCTGATTTTAATGTTTTTTTATGTAAATTGATATATTGATGTCGTGCTATGTTAATGGAGTAGTCATTGTCGGGTATCGATGTTAGACTGATACCCAAACGATTCTCAAGCAACTACTAATTTTAATACAGTTAGAGAAATTTTAGAAATTGATAAAATTGTGGGATAAAATGTTAGAATTTGAATTTAAAAAAGAATTTTCAGAAAAATGGATTTTCCTATTAGTGGAAAGTTTGACTTTGATGGACTATAATATTATTTTCTATACACTTTAAACATCCTTACAGACCCTAATTTTCTTAGACGTCTTTTATTTTTGTCTTCTATCGCTACCATGGCAACCTAAAAATATTTGGAAAAACAACACTTGGACGAGAAGCATGTTGCAATCGTGAGAGCAGTGGCTGACGATCGAGAGGGCATAACTTAGCAATTTAGATCGAACTTGAGAATGGGGTTTATTTTGTTAAGATGATTTTTTTATTTTATGTTGAGATGTTAAACTTTGATCTTTATTTTGAATATATTTTATTCAATTTCATATTTATTCACTTTGCTTTAGTATTATTGATTGGTGTTGCTGTAGTTTAATTTTTGGCTTGTTTGTAGAGATGTAAACTGCCCGGTAATGTTGCAAGAGTATGTTACATCATTAATAATATCAACGTATGTGATAACAAATTTTAGCATAAAAGTGATTTTGGTTGATTATTTTGTCGTAACATTCTTTGTATGCTTATTTGAATTGATATAGAGAGATATTCCTTCTTGTAAGTGTTGGTGAGTATTTTCGAGAGAGAAATAATCTGCTAGGTTAATGTTAGACACGTCAATCGTATTGCTATAACATCGTTAATTGCATGTTGTTGATTGACATCCCATAATCTTTTGCCTAAATCAATCATTGCTTCATTTACTTGTGTTATAATCCCATTTATTCTATTTTGTTTTCTACTACATTGCTCCCTACATCAACAATGCACAATTTTACGTTTGTTGCATAACAATTACGCAAAGTTATACTAATCTCTGTGGATATGATATCCAATGCATTAGATGTGTTCACTTTTACTACTTAATAAATGATAGTGTATGCTTGCACTATTTTCTGTTACATTATTCGAAGCATCATTCTTCCAATCAAACTTAAAATCCAGGGGACAACCTACCAATCAATAACAATGGTAGCTTTTATGCCATTTGACACAACAATGGTCACAATTACCAATAAAATGACAACAATATCAATAACTAAGAGCAGTAGAAAGTATCGCTGAAACCTCAAAGGTAGGAGAAACTTGTGGCAAATGAATAAGATGAGCTTCCTCATGAATCAACATATAATAAGTCATCTTAACAAAAGAAAACATCTACATTAATAATAACTAACTTTGATTCAAAACTTAGGTGTCATTTAGTCCCTTAAAAACTAAAACAAGATCTGTCGATTAAGGTGTTGCAAACCTTATTCAAAAACATGTAACACCTTAATCGAGCCAGACCCAAAGACCGAGGGATTAGAATATCACACGATACCACTGAAGTGGTGGCTACCCAAAAATTTTCTTTTAAAATATGATTATAAAACATCTGATAAAATTCATCCATAGTAAATAAAATAGAACATCATAACAAAGTTTACAAATATGGGGGAGCTCCTAAAATATCCAAAATAATACAATACCTATTTTAAATAAAAAGAGTTACGAGTGAATACATAAGGGTCCATAAATAGTACATGTCCTCTAATACAAATCAAGAACTACTCTGAGGATCTCTACTGAGCTGGAATACTGGTGATGATAATGCTCATGAACTGGTCACCTAAGAACCTACTCACGAAAACATATTGCATACGTTGAGCTTACTAGCTTAGTGTCACACTAATAACTATATTATACTACATGTATTCACTAGATGAGCATGCAAGTGGCATAGGTATATGAACATGAGAACTACTGTATGAACTAATGAGTAGGCATCAAGGTGCGGCTGAGGGTTCTACATCTTGGAGCTCATAACCTCTCTAGCCTTTCTGAGATACCCTCGGGTATTAGACCAACTTATTCCGTCGAGTCTTGGGGCATTTGCACCCAGTCGTTTGCTGAAGTGCCTTGGAATAAACTGCGATATCTAACTGACTATCGTATTCTGCTAAAGAGACTAGTGTCTTGGCTTTTTCTCGAGCGTCAAACAAGGCTAGTTTTATGTATTCCTAACTACTACTATTTCTAGTTATTTTGAAATTAATAAATATTCTCACTTGTAGTTTTATTTGCTGATATACTGATGTTATTGGGCTCCTCAATTCCAATCCCCTAACCATCGGATTACCTATCCAAAGTTGTTTGCTGGTAGCAATATTGACCCTTCAATATTGATACTGAACTCTGAGTATTGATACCCACCTTTTGGTATCGATAACTACTGACTAGTATATGTTGATAGAGGAAGGCAGTATAATACTCATAGCTGAGTATTAATACTATAGTGTTGGGGTATTGATACTACCCTGAGTATCAAAATCAAAATTAGGTTCGATGTTTTGAAAAATATACCTCAATATCGATACTCTTACTAGGAATATCGATACTCCCATGAGTACTGATACAAAAAAAATGTATACTAGAATATGTTAAGTGATAACCCCTAGTATCGATACCTAATGAAGGAGTATCGATACTTCTAGCCTAAAATCCCCTTATTTTGAACTTCTGATGAACAATCGGTACTATTTTCCAGTACTTATACTTCTACCTAGAAATGCCCTATTTTGGGCACTAAAAGACCAACTTTCCTCCCCAAAGATCCTATTGAGCTTCTCAACTGTTATTAAAGTCTTATGTATGATAAAATGGATCATAAAAAGGCTTTTTAACATGCTGAAACATCAAAATATGCATTCTACAATGGAAATGCTTCATAACTCATGCAACCTACCAAATCATATCTAATGATCTACATGTGGTAGAGTTGAGTTAGAAGTGTGTGTTACCTTGGATTCTAAGCTGCTGGAAAACACCTCAAAGTCACCCAAGCATAAGTTTTTCCTCCATTTTAGCTTTGAAGCTTTCTCCAACTTTCATCACTAGAAATGAGTTTCTAATGAGTTTGGAAGCTTAGAAGAGTATTTAACAAAAAACTTCCTAAGACTGAAATACTTCAAAAACGGACTGGACGGCTAAGGTTCTCATAAACCCCCATAAAACCCATATTTGGTTTCCATAGTGAAATGGAGAGGTTGAGGGCTTGATTTGAAGCTTTGGAAATTGAGGTTAAGATTTTTACCTTGGTTTGATCAAATTATGATTGTTAGAGATAATGTTCCCACCTTTTAACAAGTTACAAGGGAAGATGAGATGAGTTTGACAGAAGAAGAAGGCAAAGTTTTGAAAAAAGAGATATGAAAAATGGTTAGACGTGAGGTCACCATTCCTTATTGGGTTTTCATCTTTTAGTTTGAAATTTTGTATAATTACTTCCTTGTTCCTTCAAGCTTTGGTCATAATTCAAAAATACCCTTTTTAAGGCCAATTGAGTTCAATCCAAGCCCAAATCTACTCAAACTTGGGTCAAGGCTTCTTACAAGCCATAAGGTTTATCCAAAACCCAATTCAGATTTACCCGAAACTTTTAACATGGGATTCAGGGCGTTACAAAACATCACAGACACAATACGAGAATGGAACCAAAGTTGAATATTCATGCCAATGAGATTTCAATAAGGAAAAATAAATGGAAATCGAAGAATCCCCTTGAGAAATCAAAGCTCTCTCTCGATGAAGAAAAAACATGCTAGAGCCATCAACCATACTGAAGCGTTCTTTCAAGTCCTGCCAAACCAAGTCAACGTTAGCAAACACAATACCGACAGATAAATCCTTACTAACTGTGTTGATGATCTAAGAAAGAACGATTGCATTGTTGCGATCCTACTGGCATGAAGAGAAAGGTCAAAATCTTCTTTGCGATAATTGCCTTCAATAAACCCCAATTTGTTCTTAGCGAGAAGAGTTATTCACATGAACCGGCTCCAAACAGTGTAATTCTCGATCGCTACCAGTCGTTGAGATGTCAAAAGTGTCCTCGTTGTGTGTCTGACGGATGCCAGAACAATGGGTGGTTGAAGTCGATGATCATGGAGTCTGGTGAGTGAGGCGTGATGGATTAGGACGAAAAGAGGGGGGAAACCCCAATTGAGCAAACAAGAGAAAACAAGCCAGAAAATCACGAAGACCCAATAAACTTAAAAATTGATACCATATCAAAAGACTAAAAGAATTTTCCACACTTTATTATTAATATGAATTAAAGTGTATATACAATGAAAAACTATTCTAAGAAACTCTTTAATAGCTAAGCTAACTCTACCGGGAATACAACTGCTAACTTTAACAATTATTCCTCTACCACTACAATTTTAATTATAGGTCGTTTATTCAGCGATGTCCTTCAAATTTTTTGATTTTATTTAACAATAGAATTATTGATTGAACACCTCATCAGTCATTACTTTTTACAAGTCATCATTCATTGGTATACGATTTGAGAGCGTCAATAAATTAATATGTCCCCATCAATAAATTATGCGCAACTATACAATAATGGTTATGCTAAAGATCGTCTGAAATCTAGCGTACAACCATAATTACCGCACTATGGAACCGGTTCATATCTGAGTAGGAAGATTTATTTTTTTATTACAATTGTAATATGAAAATGCCTAATTGTATTTAAGCATAATGTTAAATTCAATCCTAAATTTGATTAAATACACTCTGATACCCGTTTTCTCAATTACATTAGCCAATGATATTTCATTTTGGGTCAAATTTGAGTCAAAATAGTCTTTGATTAGATGAAAATTATTAATTTAACTATTTATACTTATCAAATTATTAATCTAACTATCGCTTATCGTTGTTCTGTCACTTTTTTTTTACTTTTTCTATCTAAAATAAAAATTGAGAACCAAAATACACCCAAAAGAAATAAGAATCAATTATTTAGTTAAATAAAAAAAAAAGCCATTCAGCAATAAGTTTCTAGAAGAGGTAAATTACTCCTCCACTACAATGCTTAAGAAATATCATTGAGTACAAAAATGCTCCACGAGCAGGTCTTGGGCATGTATAATCATACGATTGAGAGATGTGTAGCACAAGTGCTGCCAGATTCTTTAAGTTCTCTTCAAACCACAACCTTAACCACTGCAGTCTAATACTCAGTTAACTCATTTTTTTCTCAAATAGTATTCATGTTCGACATGAATACGATGAACACCGCATGTTCGACGTTTTAACTCTCTCAATATATGAACAGAGTCGGAAAACAATTCAAGCATACCCGGTTGTCCATCAAAGTCAGATATTAGGCCTGAATTCGATTCCCTGCACAATGAGTCCACCCTTCCAATGACCACCTTTTATCTCCAGAACACTCATTTCCAGTTCCCCATTGGTGCACCCGTCATTGAAGAACTCACCCAACTCGATCTCCAACCACGCATCTGCTCTAACCTTTGGGTACTGATCATCATCACTTGCTGCAGGTGTAGGCACCGAAGTTTGAAAACCGAGCAAACGAGAACGGGAGAATAGCCTGATTCGCCTTGGTACGATCTGGTAACGTTGGCGGAGGCGTCTATCTATATCCAAGTAGACAGTTCTCTTACAACCTTCGGTGCCAACAAGGCCAAAACTAACCTCTGCAGGTTGGAAATCGAGCCCATAAGCTCCAGTGGTTAGCTTGAACACAAGGTAAGCCTTGTAGTGCGTCATGGGTGAAAGCAAGGAAATTGCAATCTTCCCACGGACTTCGAACCAACATACGTTCATAAGCTCTGCTACCTCTTCAAACCTGACATTTATCATAAATTGTAAAAGCATTTAGTCATGGATATACATATAACTGTAATTTCCAATTACATAAAGGAACATTTAAAATAATAATTATATCTGAACTCAATGAGAAAAGGAAAAGTTATTATTCCTAAAAGATTCGGGTTCGAGTAGCTATGTGTCAATGTTATCGATAATTAAAAAGATTCTTAACAAATACTAACGTGTAATCGCCCAGACTATTCAAATAACCATTTATATCCATTTGATTCTAAATAACATAGTTCATAACCATTTACTATAAGCCTAGGGTACATGATTATTTGTTTGGTTTAACCTCACAATTAGTGCATTTATCGGTTTAAGAAACATATTTATACAACACGTTAATACTTTGTTTCAAATGAATTTTAACACATTCATAGAGTTCAAATCGTGTTATCATCTTCAATGAATGTAATCGAAAATACCTGGACTCGGGCATTGAAATCCATCTCCAATAAGTAGGAGTGTCACCCCATATAATGGAGAGATCCCTGGCAGATAACATGTAAATTTTCTTGCCACTCCCTCTTTCCAATTGAAGACTCTGTTGCATCAAGATCAACATGTTAAAAAAAAAAACTAGGCATCTGAAAAACAACCATATTTTAACGAAAAACAAACAAAAAGCATCTGAAAGTAGAAAAAAATGGGAATAGAGGCATTCGAATTCTACTCCAAAACGCAAATTAAATTAATAAGAAGTCAAACCTTTCGGCCGCCATGGATGAGGAGAGGAATTTCAGAGAGTCTAAGATAAAGCTGTTTCTCGGAAGGGCAACAGATCGACGATGGAAGGGAAGCCCGGTATTCGGAGGGCAAGAAGCTCTCCCAAACGGCGTCGGATTCAGAAACCGATTTCAAGGTAGTTGAAACAAGCGACAAGCGACAAGCATCCCGAGGGGAAGTGAAGGAAATGATGGCGGCGATGCAATCCTGCGGTAGATCAGTAAGACCAAAGGAGGCGCACCTGCCCATTTGAGAAAGCTCCGATTTCATAAAACACAGCATCAAAATTGGAAAATAGAGGAGGAGGAGAGGAATGGGGGATGAGTGGGAGAGGAAGTGTGTATATTTATAGATGGGAAAACTTAAGGGCTAAGTCTTATGGAAGTCAAAACGGAATGGAATCGCTAAAAAGGAAGCTTGGGTTTGGAACTAGAAAGAAGCTCTCTCCTCTCCAAGATTCACCGTCTCGGGGTGTCGGTCGACCACACAAATTTACTTCGTTTTTATATACACATTCCTGATTTTATTTTATCGTATCTAATCCTTGACTTACTTTTTCCGGCGTTATTATCAAAAATAAATAAATAAATAAACTATTTCAAATACCATTCATCTTTAAGCTCGAGTTTAAAAATATCATTGACGTTTTAATTTTGTCAATTTTAATACGGATGTTTATGTTTCATTGCAATTTTATCACTCTGCTGTTAATCCGTTAACAGGACGATGACATGGCATCTTTGTTCCGTGACGGAGATGTCATGCTCCCTCATCAAAACATATCGTTTTGACACTACCGTTTTGATGCTCAAAAAGCTCAAAACAACGTCGTTTTGTTGATAAAAAATATTTTTCATAGAATTTGAACCATAGACCTTTAGAATCCAAAATTAAATATTCAACCATCAAGTTAACTTAAAACTTAATATAATCTTAACAAAACTATTATAAATAAGTAAAATAAAAAAAATAGGTTATGCAATAAAAAACCTAGTGTTTAGAAAGAAAAATACTCTAATTTCCTAATATTCAACCAACTTCTCCTTCTTCGCCAAATTCCAAAGCAACCTTTTTCTTCTTCAATTGATCGAAGGATAAAAACAACTAAAGAAATGATGACCACTCACCTTCTTGCCATCCTCATCATTTCCACCATTGTTTCACAGTCCAAAGCTCTTCGATTCCCTCAAGAACTCTGCAATCTTTCCTCAAATCAAATCTTCATTTTCGATAGCCCTTCAACGCCACCTTCTTCTTCTCCATCCCCACTGTTATCCCCTGCAAGCCCACTAGTTTCTTCCCCCCTCTTGTCCTTGCACTATTTATTATCGTCGACTCAATCTTTGACTGTGGCAACAACAACTATCTTGGCACCTTTTCTCAGGCCAACCGTCCTCCCTTACGGCTGTGATTTCGATACTCATCTCCCCATTGAACTCTTCCTGATGCTGGCATAATTTTCTGTGATGTGTTTCAAGGTTCCATGGATATAATTCAGAACCATAAGAGTTATGGTACGATCGATCATCTGAATCTCGAAACTTTTCTTTTTGTTGTTGCATTTTGCTTGAGATCATTGACTACCACTGAATCTTTGGTTGGTTTTCGTGGATTCTGATTTAGTTTTTGAAAAATAATATCGAAAACGTAAAATCATCATCATCATCATGGACCCTCTGTAATTTCTTCAACTTTCTGAAAATATTTGTTGGGTAAGTTTGAATCTTCTTCTTCTTCATGATGGAGTCTTTGTAATTTCTCCAACTTTATGAAAATATTTGTTGGGTAAGATTGAATCTTCGTAAAACTTCTTCTTTTTCTTAATGGGCCCTATGTAATTTCTCTAACTTTCTGAAAATATTTGTTGAGTAAGTTTGGATCTTGACAAAATCATTTCCAACTCTTGGAAGTTATCTGAAATGTTCAATACTGATTTTTGTTTCAGCAACTTCCTAATTATGATTTCACGAAATTTAATAATGTTTTGAAGTATTTCATATCGTTTGTGAAACAATTGGAAGGTTTTGATGGAATCAAGGGAAAAAAGTATAAGATTTTGGTTCCCAACCCAGTTGCGTTACAGTTGCGTTCAAGTGATCTTACTTATTTATAATATTTTTGTTAACATTATTCCAAGTTTTTAAGTTAGATTGGTGGTTGGATATTTAGTTTTGGATTCTAAAGGTCTATGGTTCGAATCCCATGAAAACATATTTTTCATCAACAAATGACGTCGTTTTGAGCTTTTTGAGCATCAAAACGGTCATGCCAAAATGACGTCGTTTTGATGAGAGAGCCATGTTATCGCAGTCACGGAACAAAAATGCTATGTCATCGTCCCGTTAACGGATTAACAGTGGAGTGGTAAAATTATAGTGAAACATAAACGTCCGTGTGGCAAAATTGAAACGTCAGTGGCATTTTCGAGCCCAAACTTAAAGATGAGTGATATTTGATGTAGTTTACCCAAAAATAATTACTGTAACAACAATGAAATATTACTTGTCACACTTTCTCTAAATATTACTGAATTAATACCCTTTCTCACAAAATACGGATCATAAAGTACATCTTCACTGGATTCTGTCTGAGCTGGCGACACGGTGGAAAGTCGCGGATCATGAGGCGCGCATTCGCAAGGTTTTGTCCAAGCTGGCACCAGGTTAGAAGTCACAGATCATGAAGCGCACCTTCGCGGGGAAATCCGATACATATAGGAAGATGCATATCATGAGGCGTGCCTTCCATTATTCACTTTGAATTATCACACTCTATTATTACCAGAGCTTTAAATCTTGACTATTCACCCATCCCCTCTCCTATAAATACCCCCGAATGCAAACATCAAACTACACAAAATTACTTTCACATTATTCCTTCTATCAATTCCTTTTATCAAACCAAACAGATTTTGTTATAGTTTTTAGAAGGTAAAATTATCTTTATTATATTATATTTATTTTATATTTAATTATTTAACCAAATTTTATTGTACTAATTATTTTCTATTATTTTTTGCATTTATAAAATGGAAGGCGAGACCATATCTCGAGACATTTTCTCGATATGATAACAATATTAAATTGTGTTTATTTAAATTATTGTTATTTTTTTTATCATTAGTTTATATTTTAATTCGTATACTATTTATTTAATTAGGTGTATTTTAACTATTATTTTTGCAGATATATGACTCTCAATCTTTCAAACTCTCAAATTCTCAAAATGAGGTGTATTTCAACTATTTTTTACTATGATGGAGAAATTCGAGAAGATAAATCGGCGTTGTCTTCGCATCAACTCATTCTCTCAGAATATCCTTCAAGAGAAACATCACTCTTGAGGAGCTGATCAGTAAAATTTAAAGGAAGGTTCATGTTGGAAGTACTAGAAGATTGTCCTCACTTCAGTACAGATTTCCAACTGCACTATTTATGTTAACTTATACAAAGTTCAAACTCTTCAACGATGACGATGTTTCTATGATGGTTGATGCTCAGAATAAAAATTCAGACGTTGATACACAAATGTATGTCGTATTTGTTGAAGTGTTTGCGGTTCGTGGCATGTCATTATGCTTTTACTATAGGCTGGCTCAAGAAGCTATCAAGTTGACAGCCCAACTGAAGTAATGTCTAATGATTTTAACTCGTTAATGAGAAATCCACATCCTGATACCATTCCATCAAGTTCGATGGGGAGACATTCATCAACAACTTGTTACGATCTCTACTGAGGTGACTCCACGAACAATCCATATGGCAACATCACTTCCAGTTCAAGGGGAAGACTTTCATCTGCCAATTTCTTTAACCTGAATATGGAGATGCCCTCGACACAACAATTTGTTCAGTACCCATTTGACACGATGCCTTTAAGTTCCAGGGGAAGGCATTCAACTATGAGCTTCTCTGACCTCAATGTGGAGATTCTTGCGACACAACACTCATTTCAATGTGGAGACATAACACTATGGCTTCAAGTTCAAGGGGGAGGCATTCAACTACCAGCTTGTTCGACCTAAATATCGGCATCACACAGGAACCCTCATCTCCACCAGAAGAACCTCTTCGTGAGCCAGGTGGGGATGATTCTGAGACTGGACTATTCGATGAGCCAGAATCAACCGCATTTCAATATGGACTACGATGTTGATGATGTAGATGAAATTCCCACAAATATGGTACACACAGAACCTCCAACCATATGTATGAAGTTGACTATGGTGCAATGTACGAGCCAGAATTTACTGATATACCTAATGTTGGTGACTACGAATTTAACTCATCAGTCAATGATGGTGAGTTATATATCAGAATGTAGTTTGCATCCAAAGAAGAAGCGATGATTGCAATTAAGAAATACAACATTCGTAATTCTGTTCACTCCAGAGTCGGTCGATCCACCACCGAAAAGTATATATGTTAATGTGTCCAACGTGATAACGGATGAAACTAAATGGTTTATGTATCGAATATGAAGAGGAAAAACAACGTATGGAAACTAATAATATACAAAGGTCCTCATACATGTTGTACTAGAGTGATCAACTAGGACCATCCCAACTTAGGCTTACATGTTGAAGGAGAAGATACATATTCTTGGGCTTTTTGCCTCAAAAACTTAGGCTTACATGTTGTTACGAGGGGAAAAAATATGTGTCGTTTTAGATTGCAGAGCTGGGATCAAAGCAACAATGATGTCTTTGGGTCTAATGTGGCAGCCACCCTATGTCCAATACCAATATTGTATTCGACATATTACTGCAAACTATCATAGAAAGTTCAAGAAGAATTATGAGCCAATTACTTGTGCGCATGGGTATGTCACAATGCCTAATTTAATTTCTCAATCATTTTCATTTTTATGGGAACTTAACAGTAAGTACTACATTTTACGCTCAAGTTACGAACTATTACTTTAAACTTTTGAGTCTATGCTTCAAGATTTGCGAGGAAAAAATGAGCAAGGGTATAATTACATCAGCCTCATCAACAAAGAAATGTGTATAAATGCATACGATGTTGGATATCAATATGGACATATGACGACCAACTTGGCTGAGGCTATCAATTTGACCTTAAAGAGGGTGCACCATTCAAACCTAGGCCACAATAGGAAAAATATACATCTCTTTTATCATCACATAACCGTTGATGTTGTGACGATGTAATTGTTGTTTATGAAGCCTCAGTTTGTGTTATTTCATTTTCGTTTACTTTTAATTAATGTGTTACTCAAGTGATGGGCTACTAAGTGAAAATTAAATAAAAACATTACAAATTAATTAATTAAAAC